CGAGGAGGAACTTTCTGCTATAAAAGAGCAGAACGAGCCACAAAGGAAACTATTGGATGCTGTTTTCAACCCTCAGCTGCGGTTACACAGAGCAGGTCGGTTCACTTTATTTCTTCTGTTCATGCTCCGGCTGATAACGTTTCTATGTAGTTTGGAGTGAGACTTGGTTGATTCAATGAATCTTTTTCTTCTTCTGATCTGTTCTCTCAGTAGTTACGTAGTTATTTCGGAGTCCCTTTTTGTCAGTTTATTGCCGTTAAATCACAGCCAAATCAGTTTACTTGGTGTTCATACAGCTGTAGTAAACAGCGACATGTGGCTTGCTAGACACAGTGAATACACTTCGATAAAATCCACAGAGCTCCTTTGGACAATGTTATGAACCAGACATGACGACGTTTAGTTTCCCGGGATATCTGGGACTTCCACAACAGTACTAAGCAGAAATAGAGGTTATTTTTTCCATGGTTAATGGCGGACAGTTGAACGGCTTTCAGGGTGATAAGCCACGCTCCCTCTCCGGCCCGTCCAGCGCGAATGAACACAAATAGTCCCCGCGAGACCGATGGCGCGAATGGCGCTGAACTCAAGCCGTTGTGCTACGAAGCCACACTGAATAAAAATAGTATAGTATTATATGAACTAACTAAACAGTAGTGCAAAGATGTTTCAACCAACAACAACAAACAACAGAGTTCTAGTCTTGAGGATGATTTCTCCAGAGGTGATTTATTATGAAGTCTTATTGCAGTGGGCAGGAATGATCTCCTGTATCTGTCCTTGTGACAGCGGATGAGTCTGTTGGAGAAAGTGCTCCACTGTCCCTGCAGTAGATGGTGGAGAGGGTGGTCCGGGTTATCCAATATGGATAATAATGATAACACCACATGGATTTTGCAGTGTGTTGAATTTTAAAATGGTTCATATGTTCATGGTCACATAACAGTTGATTAAAAAATATTATATTATCTGGTTCCATTGCTACACTGGAACCAGGTAATATAATACATGTTAATGTCTTTTGTTCCATATATTGTGTATAAACATTTCATCACATCAGACCACATTGATAGCTCAGAGTTACTTGTGTTCTAATGCAGGGATGCACCGATACCAGTATTCATGTATCGATGTACTTGAGATGTACTTGTGATGTACTTGTGATGTACTTGTGTACTACTCTGATACCACTAAGGCAACATGATGTTAACCTCTCGTTTGTTGAGCCTCATCAGCTACTCAGCTGCAACGATACCCAAATGCACCAACAGGTTATGTTAGGGCCGGGTGGTAATTTAATATAATTGATTGTCTTTAAAATATATATCAACAAACATCTATCAAACAATTACAAGCATACTACCTAAAAGCAACAAACAATGGTGTGTGTGTGTGTAGGAGGGGGTGGGGGGGTTCAACCTTGACCTATAGGTTCCTGAGAGCAGTCTCTAGAAGACGTTTATTAGTTCAGATTGTGTCATTGTTGTTATCGTCACATTTCAGTTTCATCATCTTTACGTGGATGTTCTCTACGGCTGACTACCAAGGTGAAGTGCTATTGGTTCAGAAACGGAGCGCACCGATGATGCACGTCCACGGTTACGCTGTGGCTGCTTCTGAAGGTTCTATCCACTGTTTCTACGGTGGCAGGTTTACGTACATTAGTCAACTATAACTGCCCACATGATCACATCTCAGCCGCACTTTATGCAGGATGCAGGTTCTTTGAATACTTCTTAACAATGTTGGGTACAACACTTTTTTGCCATGTAAACTATTGATGACCTCATTGCTGCTGGTGCATTGTCTTTACAATTTGTTTTCAGCATGTCTGTTTGGTAACTGTGCACAGGGAGTGTAAGAGGGAATGATGGCAGGAAATAAAGTGTATCTACAGGAGACTATTTGCTCAATACTAATATTTCTTTGTAACGTCTCTGTGTGTTTACTGTTTTCCTGCAGACGTCCAGCAGCTGTTGGTGGTTAAAGAAGAAGTTCCCCCTGAGCAGCAGGAGTGGGGCTCCAGTCTGGACCAGGAGGACCCAGAGCCCCCACACATTAAAGAGGAACAGGAGGACCCAGAGCCCCCACACATTAAAGAGGAACAGGAGGACCCAGAGCCCCCACACAATGAAGAGGAACAGGAGGACCAAGAGCCCCCACATATTAAAGAGGAGCAGGAGGACCCAGAGCCCCCACACATTAAAGAGGAACAGGAGGAACTCTGGACCAGTCAGGAGGGAGATCAGCTTCAAGGGCTGGAGGAGGCTGATGTCAAGTTCTCATTCACTCCTGTGAAGACTGAAGATGATGAAGAGGAAGCTCAGTCCTCACAGCTTCATCAAAGAGAAACTGATCAGATGGAAACAGATGCTGATGGAGAGGACTGTGGAGGACCAGAACGAGACAGGAACTCAGATCCAGATAGACATCCAGAACCAGATACTGATGAGAAGACTGTAGACTCTTCTGACACTGATGACAGTGATGATTGGAAGGAGACCAGAGAACCTCAGTCAGGTTTAAACTCTTTGAAACCTGATGAGGTCCATGTCAGTGATTCGAGATGTAGTGCTGGTGAGAAACTATTTACATGCTCTGAGTGTGGGAAAACAACTGGCAGAAAGGCAGATCTGAAGAGACACATGAGAAGCCACACAGGAGAGAAACCTTACAGCTGCTCAGTCTGTAATAAGTCTTTTAACCGGGGTTCAACTTTACAGAGACACATGAGAATCCACACAGGAGAGAAACCTTACAGCTGCTCAGTCTGTGATGAAAGATTTCGGCACAAGTCAACTCTGAAGTTACACATGATTACTCATACGAGAGACAACCAGCTTTAGTCGCTCTGTTTGTATACAAAAGTTAAATCTGACACACCACATGGCACATAACAGAGGAGAAACTATGGTGCTTTTTTCTTATCTTTATTCAAAAGCATGTAATTTAAATTTGAGGGCGTTGCTGCACGTGGAGACGCCGGACCAGCACCTTGAGCTCGGACCCACGACCTCGAGAAGGATTAGTTATTTTAACAAGACTTTATACATTTTGAATTGTTTTTATTGTCTGCGCTGCTTGTGGTTCATGTTAAATGTTATTGATATTTGGTTCTTTAGCTATTTTGGCAATGTTTTCAGCAGAAGTGACACTTGTTCTTGAAGCTGCATTTTTTCCAGTCAAAATCACTGGAAATGCTTCTGTTCATAAGTAGGATAATCCAAGTTTAATCTCACTGAAGAAGGTTTTGTATTTCTGTCTGAATATGTTTTTTGCATGCCTACAGATGACTACAGCTGGGCCTTTTTTAAATTAATATTTTACATGTTTCTCTATGTTCAAAAAAGGCCATTTATGGAGAATCTAAAGGCCCCTAGGTAACCGTGGTAAATTACCTCAGGCTTGAACGCACAGTGATACGTTTGGGCTCCAATGAAAGGTGACATGTATGTATCCTGTATTGAGATTCACTGTAAGTATTGCTCACACAGAGTAACTGAATGAAAATAAACATGGTGCTTTTTCCCTTCTTGAATCTAAACTGAGTGAATGTAAGAGTCAGTGGGAGTCGGCGAGGGGTTCTCTGAACGCCTTCGGATGCGTACGGTATTTCTCCTTTACCTGTTGCAGTAACGTCTTCTTTCAGACTAGTAGAGAGAAAACATCCAAAATACACATTCAGCTGTTTTTCAACAGTTGTAATGATTTCCACCAAAATCCTGGTCCAGTCTTGGAGAAAGTCAACAGTGGCCAAATTTCTCCTCAGCCCGAGGAACCAGTGTTCAGGTCCTCGAGACAGAGAGAGGAAGCTCCACGCTGAGACCTGAGGGAGAGGAGTTCAGCTCAGTATCACTTCTTCAAATACAAAACAGGAAGCTTTGAATGGAAAAGTATTTTACCTGGTACAACTCTGACCGTCACAGGTACAGATGAACACAACCAACACAGTACATTTCAACCAGCAAATATCAGCTTATCATGTTTTTAAAAAACATCTGGCTGTAAGAGGAAAGCGGTTTATTGTTAATCTGGAAGCATTTAATGAAAGATCGCAGGTGCCCCGAATAAGTCAGCTGGAGTCCAGCAGGTCGTCTGTCCTACGGCTGTAATAAACAACTTTGCTGTGATTAAATTGCAGTAAACGGTTAAAAAGGATGCCGAAGTAACTACATAGTGATGCCGATTTGTAAAAAGTCTGAATTCATGCTTTGTCAGGTGTGTCGACTAGAAACAAAGAAGCAAAGAACTTTTAAAACGCTTGTTTTCTGAATGGAGCTCTGTTCGATCGGTGCTAGACGTTGCTGACATTGTAGCTGATCAACGCTCAAAATCACAGCATATCGGCGTAAATACGTCGTTATTGTTCATGGTTACACATACATTTATAGACATAGCTTCTCTGTACAAATAGTAGGTATCCTACAGCTCTGGGTGAACACCAACGGCTACAATATGTTTTTGCTCAATTTCAGATTCAAAGTCAGGACGTCCGTGATGCCGGGAGGAGAATGTCGATGCTTGAAAGGCGCGCAAATGAGGCATATTTTGCATATTCGCCAGATTCGTGGCACATTATAGAGGCCATTTTTTTTCCGGGCGACATCATCAGGTGCTTTGACCCGTCGCCTCCACTGTAACATCATGCAAATCCATAAACGTCTACCCAATGTTACAGCACATGCACTTTTAGATATGGGCATCATTTACAGACCCAGTTTCAGTGAGAAAACTCACTCGTTTTGAATTTTAAACAGGTTTGTTTTTTCCTCCAATCAGTTACCGACTTCCTGCATATTGATCGTGTTAAGAGGAAGCAAGTCTGTACTCAAGGAGCCTGACTTCTGTCTTCTGCTTATTGTGCCGAGCACAGAGGAAGGCGACATCTCCCTCTTTTGTAAGCAGAATTGTTTGATATGATTGATATTTTCTTGCAGATGTTATTCACCTGCTAGTGTTTATTTTCCGTGAAGTCACAGAGAGAAGGAGGAGGAGCAGCGATGACTTTAAAGGCAGCAGCAGGTGGATTTGTTATCTTCCTCCTCTCCGTGCCAGGTACTGAATATCTGTTTCTAATGATGTAAAAATACTTCTTAAATCCTCACTTCTCCAGTTTTAATGTGTGATGTGATGCAAACCACCCAAACAAATACTCCCTTCTGTTTCTGTGTTGCACGTTGTTGTAGTTGTTTTTCAATTATGATTTTTCTGCATCGTGATGTTTTGCAAATGGTTTTATTGTTGTGATGACTTTAGTCTTGAGCAGCATCTCCCTGCATCCTTTTTACATTGAAGTGGTTTGTATCATTGCATATTAACGCTAATGTTGCTTAAATTAACTGTATGTTCATCCTGTTTTTGAGACAACAAGATAACATCTACCAACAGCTAAAAAAAATATAGGAACCAAACTCAACTTCTGAATCATTTCGTTACTTGCAGATGTCACTGTGATGTTTCACTTCTCTGTACAGTTGCAGTAAACTATCTTTAGTTATCTAAATATAACTATAACGGTAGCAGCAGAGTGTCTCTCCTACATATGAAGTTTTCTTTTGATCTCGGCACCAATCAGATCACAACAAACGGCGAGGAATCAAAACAGGAAATTGGCAACGTGGCGATCACTACAGCAATCATTTCTTTCTCCCTCCACGTGCTGTTCCTGAAAGCTGCAGTAAAATGTCCAGCTCCGGTTTATTCCTGATCGGCAAACAAACACTTCTCTACATCTGTGTTCAATGTGGCTCAATGCAGAAATGGCAGAAAAGTTATAAACATAATTAACAACGATGAGTTTAAAAAGGCATACAAAGAAGTGACCGCAGAGGGAAACATTTCCACAGTTACATTCTTAAGAGTTGTCTTTGTTTTATTAAATTGAGACGTTTTAGTGCAAAGTAGTTTCTGGGAAATGCTGTTAGTCGTTCCCAAAGACTTTGTTAGGGTCACCAAATGTGTTGAGACCTCAAAATGGCACACAGAGCGGGGGGATGGGGCCAGGAGACCGTGTGAGACGAGAAGTCAGCGTTAAAGTATTTGTTGCGTAACATAGTTACGGCAGTTCTGTGGTTATTTTAACCGAAATCTAACCGAGTAGTTTTGTTGCCTAAACCTGAGTTTCCTGTGATGGCGGAACTTTATTTTGTAAAGACCGTATGCATGTAACGAGCGGAAACTGACACGTTTTGCTGGTTTACGTACAAAAAACGAGGAGTAACTTTATCGTAAGATATCATACGAGCCGTTGTATGAGGATTCGTTGGAATGTGGCAAGTTCTCCGAAATCACTGTTACAAGCCACCACATCTGTTCCTACGAGCGGTTCTTGCATGTTTTAAATAACACATGCAGAAAACAAAGTTGTGATTAATCCAACGTACATCTCTTCTAAATTCAAGATGATATAAGGTGATGTGGAAATGGCAGTAAAAATGATCGTTCACACTCAATCGATTTACAGATTTTCTTTTCATAAAATGTCCGTGTTTCCTCTGTTGTGAATATGAATGTTGCTCCTGATTTCTCTGTGTTGCAGTGATTCAGGGTCAGGACGACTGGGGAGTGACTTACACCTCTACCGAGATCTGTGCCTTAAAGGGATCAACAGTGAACATCCCTTGCACCTTCACATACCCATCGACAGGAAGTGACAACGTTGAGAAGAGATCATGGATTGCCAGAGGGAGCAATGGTGCTCCTATGGATGTGACAACAGATCCCCACTACGCAGGTCGTGTTGAGTATCCTTTTCATGAGAACGACTGCACTCTGAGAATCAAAGACCTGAGAGAGAGCGACTCGGCTGAGTACAAGTTCAGGTTCATGACAGACGGACCGGACAGAGCTTTTACTGGTTCACCTGGAGTCTTTTTGTCCGTCACAGGTAACATTGTCACTGGAATATTTGGTTCCAATCGTTAAGCGTCCAGGAAACACTCCTGTGAACATTTTCTGTGTGCATTCATGTATTTAATGGTTTAGTTTGAGATGAGATTTCTGCTGTGTCCTTGGTGTATCCAGACCTCTGGGTGCAGGTGGGAAGATCACAGGCCCGGGCAGAGCTGAGGTGTCACAGCAGATGTAACGTCACTGATGATTCTTCATATGTCTGGTACAAAAATGGAAAGAAAGTGGCTGAAGAAAAATCTACTTACAGAGTCTCTTTTGACGATAAGAACAAATATTCCTGTGCTGTTGGAGGACACAAGAAGTACTGCTCTCCCCCAGTGTGTGAGTTAACGAGGAATCTTCAAAAAAAAATATTGACTCCAACATTTGTTTCACGAGTACTTTCCCTTTTAAATGTGAATATCGTGCATTTTTATTATATTTTTTTACGAATAAGGCATCAACTGTATTCATGATATTAATTATTTTCCATGAAGTGATTTTTTTAAAATGTAATTAATTATGGCTTTATACACATTGTCCTCCAGATGCTCCAAAGCTTCCCTCTGTGTCAGTGAGTCCCTCTG